ATATAATAAACACATAATAATATGTGTTTTGACTTCCTAACAAGTGTGCAGACCTACACATTTCATCGTGTAGGGTGATCCATAAGTATCACCTTTCTAAAACAGCTTCTCTTCCTGCACACACTTCCATGTTATAGTCTTCTCTCATACTTGTTCCACCTCAGAATGCATTTGGGAAGATTGCTGATCAAAAGCATTTCCCCTCCATGTGATATGCAGACACATACAAATCAGTATGGAGTGGTCTGCTCATGTGACCTTGGCATAATATCACTGCAACTGGATTATTGTGAGAAGGTAAAATGAAGGTTGAAAGGTTGCCTGTTGAAAGTATAGCAAAAATGATAGTGGAAAATACTGTAGCACTGGTGAGAGACAAATGAGCTGTTTAGGCATTGAAACTCTTCATTTCCCAACCACTTATCAACTCAGAAATAAGTTCCATTGAATTCCTATACTTATGTACCTGAGACTTGAAGCCTGAATCTCTGACTCTGTTTTTACTTGTTATGACTTATTTTTTGTCTGTGTTATGTTAATGCTTATTGTAGTCTTTGTAGTCTTTGATCTGATAATCTCTGATGTGGTAAACCCCTGGTAGGAAGGTGCTATAGGAAGGCAGGATGGTGCTTCTTCCTACAGCAAGAATGGTGAACTGGGGGCCCTACGGATTTGTTAGTGATGGAAGTTGGCAACAAACCGTTTCCACAAGGCCACAGGTTCCCCACCCCTGGCCTTTAGCAATGTCTGTGGCTCATTTTCAAATTCTGCATGCTGTGAAATACAGGTCACCACTCATGCCAAGAATCGGAAGCTGATGAGAAATAATAGCTTGATGATCCTTCAAGAAGAGCGCCAGAGAAGGGAGTAGGCTGGGCTAGTTTACTCCTTTCCCCTGCCTTCTTCCTTGCTGCCCATCCTACAGCATTTGATCATTCTTCTGGGGCCATTTTGTGTTCCAGTTGCCCTTGTATATGTGGGAGCAACTTTTCTATGAACAACTCCTACATAGCTGGGGGGAAACCCCCAATGTTTAAATGAGCCAGTCATTGGGTAGGGCCTGATTGTGAATATTTCGCACAGATCAGCACCTTCCTCTGGCTTACTGCTGAATCTGTTGGACAGCGCCATACAATTTCCCTTTTCCCTCTTGCTGTTGTGCTCTAATCGGGCTTGCTTGTTTCCTACAGGCATCTGATTGGCCACTATTAGAACAGGATGCTGGACTTAGATGGGCCATTGGCCTGATCCAGTAGGCTCTTCTTTTGTTCCCTTGTGTCTAGAGGAGGTTCACTCAAGACCTCCCCAAGCACTGCACTTGTTTTAGATTTACATTTAATACATCACCTTCCACATTTTCTGTGTATTTCCCACACGTATCATGCAAAGAGGTTTGGGCAATCAAGAGATATTTTAGTAACTCCATTTTTTTATTTGACCCCTGGAGTTTAGCAACTGTACTGGCTTCATCCATAATATTGTCTGCAAGAGAAACACCTGGCATTAGCAAGCCAGCAGGATTTACAAGCCACCCCTAGTGGGCTTACAGAAACTGTCACTGCAGTTATGTATGATTCTGTGGTTCCCTTAAGAATGATCAGCAGTAAACATAGAGCTTACTACGGGAGGAATTTGTAAGGATTGTTGTCAGTAACTGCTGGTCTTGAGAGTTCAGTTAGCACTTCCTGGAGAGAGTGTACATTTCAAAATGACAACACAGGTATTCAAAAGAATGAATTGAATGAGCTTTAGTAGCTTCACAGTATAGAGCCCCTTACCATGATCACTATAGAGAATATAGCAAATAAATAGATCCAGTTTAAAAAGTCACAATTTTGCTGGCTTAGATAGATTTGCATTTTCTTGTCCAGTTCCCAGAATGGGAGAGTGCCAAGCCAAAATAATAATAATAATAATAATAATAATAATAATAATAATAATAATAATAATAATGTGTTACATGCTATCACTGCTTTTTAGAATAAATAAATTGGGGACACTCTGGATATGCTCAGATGTACCCGCTCTTAGACCTTTTAAAGAGGTGTTTTCTATCAGAGGGGAGAAACATTCTGCATATACTAAAAAAAAGGACCTTATATCCTTAACACACACCCCTTTAAAGAAGCTAGATCATCTTGTAAAGTAACAAACATTTTGTACATGTTTAAAGGCCAGGGTCTTTGGGAAGGGACACTCTGGACATGCTCAGAAGAAATCAAACTTAAGTACTCAGAGATACTTAAACTGCCAGAATAACATAAGAGTGTATTTGATATTACTAAGTTTGGGACTCGTTACATATTATGCACACTCTGGAGAAAAGCATGTTTGCCAGTGCTCATTGGGAGAGGTTTTGTTGCATTGTCATAAATCTTTGCACTTATTTCAAAAGAATCTTTGCACAAGTTTTGAACGCAGGTCATACAAGGGAATTACTGCTGCAGCACATATTGTTTGGAACTTCAGTAGTGCTTCCCTCTGATGTGCTCTGAATTCCTCAAGTGTCCTGTATAATCTTAGGACCACAATGACGTGGGATCTGTGCACCTCAATGACCACCTCTTTCTGCAGATTCCTCTCCACACACTACAGTCAACGTCTGAAACCCTGCTCCAGATCCCTTGATGGCAGGAGCTTGACTGGCAACAATCAGGGCCAGATCTTTTCTCTTGTGGCATGCCTTACCAATTGAGGAATGTTACCAGATTGCTTTATTTTTGCTGGTGCGTGTCACCATTTCAATGGCTCTTTGGGGTCTTGTTATAGGGGCTTCACTTTGATGTCCGTATTTGTGACGTGCAGGGGGAAGTGCTTTGGACTGCAAAACACCTTGAGTGTCTTTGAAAATTAGGCAGGGTGAACATTTTAACAACAACAACAACACAGCAGTAGCAGATGTCAATAAATAAGGCGTCACCCTCTCCTTGAGAAACACATATTCCTCAGATCAAGGTCATTCAGCAAGTTCTTCCCTTCAGAGCTGAGCTTTCCTCATTCCCATTCCCCATTTTCTTTGAAAGAGGAAAAAGCATCATGCACTTCCTGTGCTGCTGGCAGTGATAAGAGCCTTGCTAGTGAAGTTAATACAATTAGACACATTTGCACAATAAAGCATAAACAGTCCTGGCTATTTACTAAATTATATTGTGAGCAGTTCATTAATTAGAGAATCAGACCAGGACATGACTTTCATAAACTTGTTAAATTGGCTTAGAACTATACCCATTATGAAGTTTTAATATCCTATTTAGTATCCTATTTAAATAGGTGTACAATTCTTTGGATTTCAGAATCTTTAAGGGATTTAGAATGAAGGTAAGGGCTTCAGAATGAAGCCTGTGCTAATTTGTGTTGAGATGGGGAAGCATGGTTTCTGTGGATTAGCAGTTTTTTCATTGTAGACTGATTTGGGATATTTGACCCATCCAGTACATGACCTTAAAGGAGGCAATGATTACTTTATTTTCCTGAGGCTTATCTTTAAAAACAAACAAACAATTTTTATTGCTTTTTAAACAAATACAAATACAATAAGCATTAAATATTTATCCAGTAGTACAGCTAATGGTGTTTGTTTTATCCATTGTCTCTAGACTTCCATTTAAACATTCAGCATTCAAACATATTGCTTTAATGTAACCTTGCCACCTAGAATATTGAGCAGACCCCCCTTCTTTAACTATGTTAATGACCAAAATCAGAGGAATACTTTATTGGTCACTGAGACCATTTTTACCCATCCCCACCCTCTCAAACCTGGAAACACTACTGCATTACATGACCAAAAACCATGGAAAATTCTTACCGAAAAGTCTGCATGCATAAGTTAATGTGATTTGTCGAAATCTACACACATATGGGAATACTTTTATTGAACATTGTACATGTGCTGGCATATGCAATTACGTTTATAGTGTAATATATGAGGAAGCCCTTATTAAGCAAAAAAAAACCTAGATACAACAATTTTCAAATGTAAGAGCTTTTTTATGTTTTCCAATTTCATTATTCACCAAAGGGCAGTGAAAGTATATTTTTATTATAAACTTAACATTTTTATTATTATTAACGATTTACTGCTTCAGATTAGGCATATGGGTTTTCAGAGAGAACAAAACCTCCCTTTTCTGCATGGTGTGAAAGGTCAATATTGTGTTTAGAGTGACAACTCTCTGGTTCCCTTCTAGAAAAATTCACAGCCGTACCTTTATAATGAAACTGGTAGCACAAGTCAATTTCTGAGTGAATAAATGTTTACATAGTGAATTACCTCTAGTCAAGGATTGCCTTGTTTGTAATCTCATCAGAGAGGCCAAAGGTTAAGTGTTCACAGCAAATTAACAACCACCTCACTCCAGTCATGGTCTGGGGCAAGTCACCTTGACACACAGGTGACTTGAGGAAAGCTTTTTCATGCCATTCTGTTCTCATCTCCCTGTGGAGTCATGGAGCACTGAGATCATTAAAAGTCGATCAAATCAGCACTTTTAGCAGAGGATGGAAAAAAATTTAACGGCAAGAAAATAGGTTTAAAGGCTTATTAAAAGCTCAGCGCCTCTCTATTTTTAGAGGATCAACCGTTTCTGGGGGGTGGCAGAAGTCATTTAAATTGCAGCTACCATTTTACATCAGAAGCCCCTTTACTTTTAATGATCCTCATGCAAGTCCTGCCAGTGATGACTGAATTCACTGGGTTGCCTTGGCAGGCGGCTGAGGCACATTTTCTATAGCAGCAAATGGAAGAAATAATCTAATCCCATCACTACCATTTCTTACAGAGATGGGGAACTTATGGCCCTTGAGTTGTTGCTGAACTAAAACTGTCAACATCCCTGAATCTTAGCCATACTGGGAGTTGAAGTCTGTTACCAAGGCTCCCCCCCCCACCCAGCCAGAATGCCATTCTAAGAGAATGAGGGAGATGTTCATGGTGAGTTCCAGCACCTCTTTTTCTTTAAAAATAGCACTAATTATTACTCCTCTGAACATTTTCACAGGAACCTCTGTGGTACAAGTAACAGCTACTGATGCCGATGACCCTACATATGGAAACAGTGCCAGAGTGGTCTACAGCATTCTTCAAGGACAGCCTTATTTTTCTGTGGAACCAAAGACAGGTAAATCCTCTTACACTTCCCATATCTACAGCTTTTACCAGGGAAAACTAAAAAGAACCTCCAGAGTTCTCTGACAGAGGTGCACTCTATTTGACTATCGCTATAATCCCATGATGCAGGAAAGTAGGGCTGCCCATGTTCACCTTGTGAATGAATGAATGAAACTTTATTTGCATCAGCCGTCGGCCATAGCAACATAAAACATTGCGATATACACAGAAAGGAAAAAAAGTCAATTATATAAAACACAGTTTAGGGTCCTGAATTAGCAGTTAAATAGTGGACCTTATTCTGATTGCCCCAGCTAGAAACCTTGCAACTTTTGCAGTCATCTGCTCCTCTGGCTCCACGAGAGCCAACGTGGTGCAGTGGTTAAGAGCGGTGGACTCGTAATCTGGTGAACCGGGTTCGCTTCCCCACTCCTCCACATGCAGCTGCTGGGTGACCTTGGGCTAGTCACACTTCTGTGAAGTCTCTCAGCCTCACTCACCTCACAGAGTGTTTGTTGTGGGGGAGGAAGGGAAAGGAGATTGTTAGCCGCTTTGAGACTCCTTAGGGTAGTGATAAAGTGGGATATCAAAATCCAAACTTTTCTTGATCTGTCAGGAGAAACGACACTGTGGCAGTGGCTGGGCGACCCAGAATGGTCAATAAAAGAGGCATGATAATCTCATTCCTCAGGTCTTTGTAAAGAGTGCACGTGGGGACGGCATTCGCCACTGATTCAGTGCTGCCATCTCCACAGGGACATATGTGTTTTTCGTGTGGAATCTGTTGGATTGTCCCTCAAGTACAGTCCCTCTGCCCCACATTGTCCCCTCCGCAATCCTATTCATGGTCATGGTTGCAGTTCTTGGAGAGAGTTTGCATGGGTTTGGCAGACTGCCTTGCTGCAGATGTGTCCCCAACCCCATGGGGAAGGGCTGTCATAGGGGCAAACAGGGCAAGCATGCAGGGCCCTGCTGTCCAGCATCATGCAGTTCAAGTCATCTGAGCATGGACATCCGAATAAAGCTTAACTGAACTCTAGATTGCAGGCAAAGGCTGTCATCTAGTAAAGCTGTTTGTGGATAAGTAGACCGATAAATGGCTGTGAAGGCTAAATGGGACTGAAATGGAAGAGTATTTATTATTATTTGTTGATTATGGCTATTTGGAAAATACATACCACCCAATTAAACATGGTCTCTGGGTGGTTCACAATTATTATTACTTTAAAAAAAACCGGTCAGATACAATCAAAACTAAAAAAAAAAAATCAATAGGAAGGAACTATATCAGCTAAGGATCAGTGTAAAATCAACATGAAGCCATCATGAGGCAACATAAAATCAAAAAGAAGGGGGGGGAAACCCAGCATCTTTGAATATCAGATGCAGGAGTCAAACAGCAGGGAATTATCATCATGTCCTTATTTCCAAAGTTATCTTCTTGGCCATTGTTGGAAATGGAGTGCTAAACTCAATAGACATTAGGCTGATTTGGTAAACCAATTCTTATCCTCTAATGCAGGCTTTGCCTGTGGATACATTTGGAAACCTGAGAAACTGTGGCAAGCAACCTTGCAGCTACACACACCACATATTCACTCTCTCCACACACCCACACCCCACACCACACACCCACACACACGCCAGTCCCCAGCTGTGACCTTCCCCACAATCAAAGTCAAAACAACTGTGCCACAGTTAAGTTTGAAAAAGATTTGTCTACAACTGGAGGCTTCTTTTAAGCCTGATTGCAGCAGCGGAGCTGGGAGGGACACGGTGCTGTAGCCATTGGGGTGGGTAAGTCCAGTTGAGGTCAATGGGATTTACTCCCAGGTAAGTGTGTATAGGATTTCAGCCTTAAAATGCAGTCTACTTTTCTTCTGAAAAGTAAGTCTCCTTGGGTCTACTGTGACTCACTGCCAGGTATGTGTAAGATTGTAGCCTTTATCTTGAGGCCACTGGTCATTTTAAAACTACCTTGTCTCTTTTGGCATGAGAGCCGTTGCAGAGTGGGAGAGAATCAAAGTTCTCACTGTGATTGTGGCTCTCTTTCCCAATTGACATGCATGGACCGTATATTTGGATATGTGGAATTTATAGTCTAGATTTTATTAGATGTATGTTACTGCAAAACAGTTTGGGGGTTTTAATGTTCTTACTTATGTTCTTATTTCCACATCCCTGAAATGTGTTTGGTTTTTGTAATAACAAGTATATATTTGAAACATGTAAATACTTGAAATTATTTGTATTCATCTCTACCTTTCCCCCCCATTGTGATCTCATTCATTTCCCCAGCTTTATTTATCTGCACTCCAGCAGGTTTCCTGAGACTTTTTTTTTTTTAAATCTTCCAAATATTCTAAGAGGATGGGTTTGGGTTTTTTATGTCTTATCTTTGTGAAGAGTTGTTTGTACTTCAGAGTTAGAGCCTGAGTTCTACAGTTTGCATGGTACAGTTTTCAGAGGAAATTTCCTACATTCAGAATACTGTCCAGTATTATTATTATTATTATTATTATTATTATTATTATTATTATTATTGCCTTTATTGTCAATGTACAACCTGTGTGCATTGAAATGAACAATGAAATTAAAATGTGGCAATGTTTATGATTATCTCTTAAGTAAAGTATCTCCCTTAGTCATTGTGCCAATTTTGAGCACTCTGGAATCTCTTCCTTACAAATACTCACCTGTGCAAAATGAGTAAGTGTAGGGTTCTCTGATCATACAGACAATCAATCATGTGGAAATAGCCCTCTGTGCATACTGCTATATGTACAGGGGCGTGCTGCAAAGATAATAAATGTGTACCAATCAGTGACGGAACCTGTCACTTCCATGTTGTTCCCTTCCGCTGACCCACATTGATTTTGCACAATGAATGTATGCAAGAGGCTCGCAAACAATTGATGTGTGTCAATGCTAAAAGGGTTATGGGCCACATTGCCGTACTGGGTCATGGGTCGTATCAAAGAGCAGACAGTATCATAGGCAGGAGCAAGTGGGAATCATGAAATAGAGCATGCCAGAACATTCTAAGTTCAAGACAACAGATCAGAAGCCAGGGCTGCCAAGCAGAGGCATAAATCATTTGGTTGAAGGGTCAAATCTCTGGTGCTTTAAGACTCACTTTCTGCCCCAGAACAGCTTTTCTCCCTTCTCGCCTTACTTTCTACTCAAAGTTTGTTTGCTTATATTAAATAGATAAATATTTTTATTTAAAAAAATTTATATACTGCTTGATTGTAACAAAACCTCTAAAATCTTCTATTGTTCTTGTGAAGTTTCAGCCATCTCTCTTTCTACTTTCCTTCAACATCTCCTCCGGCTACTTTTCCTCAGCATGCAAGGTGTTGCTGGTGCATGCATTGGTCAAACCACAAGGCTGTGGGATGGCTGGGGGCGAGTGAGGAGACACAGGGCAGGCTGTGACTCTTGGGCCTACCTGACCATGGCCCAAGGCCCACTGGTGACTCCCAGACCACTGTTTGAGTAACACACACAAACGTGTGGGGTGGGTGTGTGGTATTATTATTTTCCCCAAAGTAAGAGGTTATTCCGAACATGACATTGCACTTGTCATTCATAGAACAACATAAACCCGTTTCCACACACCAGATGGGCAGGCTGCAAGCAAGCGAGCATAATTAAGTCCTCATACATACAGGTGCTTTTGCCACTTTCATTTTGCTTAGAGCAAAGCGTTTCAGGGATTTTATCTGATAAAGTATGGGCAATGTGACAGGAGAGGGGCCTTGGGCCTACTCAGCAAAGCCTTGAAATTGCCTTTATTTCTGTAATTTTCAGCCTATTGTTTCTTGCCCTTCCTTCAGCAGTTAATGAGTCTGACTGTTCGCACTCCTTCAGATCTGTTTTGTCAACTTTGCCGTAGCCTGTCATACAATTAATTACATTCTTCATGAAGGGAGACATCCCACAGGCTTGTGGGGTCAGCATATGATTTAAAGAAGGACAGATTGACAAAAATAACACAAGGGAACCATTTGTGAAGTTGTTTTTTAGCCTTCCCAGCCTGTTTAGTATGGATGGAATAAAGCTATTATTATTTTATTTTATTTTTAAAAAATGTCCTTTCAGCACAGGGAAGATTAATGGGCTGCTCTAAATTCAAAAGAAGAGGAAATAAATAAAACTGGAACTAAAGAGCTTGCAAACATTACAAGGAGATATAGAAGCCCCAATGCACCTCTCAGTTATCCATGTATTTTATGTTTCCCTTCTGCTGACATGTAGCAGTGGTAGAGTAAAAGCCCATCTCTCTGGAAATCAGAGACACCAGCTGGACCGTGTAACAAGCATGAAATAGTCATAAAGCCTTCCTGGTTTGAGGAGGAATATTTATTTATCTGATACTTAACTGCACAGCAGAATGATGACAAGCTAGCTTTTCTCTCTCCTCCCTTTACATTTCAAGCCATAATTACACATGGCACAGAGATGACCAAATGGATATAACTAAAACTAGCTCAGATAATACAGTGTTTCAATTACTATATCAAAGCTTCCTAATTATAGTGAGTGCTTTAGAAGTGGTTATTGGTTTTTTAAGTTTGCTTTAAAGATATTAGCTAATTCAAGATAGCTTCATTGAAATGCATAGTGTGATACAAGATTATTCATAGCATCAAGGATCTGTGAGGCCATTTACCATTTCAAGCCATTAGGAAACTCATTGTGGCAGCCTGGAAGTTTAGAAACTGCTCTGTTTAGACTGATGGGCCTCAGCGGCACTGGGGCTTGGGCTAGCTCTGTTCAGGCTCAGGATTCCTAAGAGAAAACTTCAAATGCTGTTTCACTGGCAAGTCTTTCTCAGACTGAGCCTTAAATGGGAGCTGTGGTCCTATCTCAGTAGCTAGGCCTCCCTCCCTTCTTTTAGAAGTCCTTGACTACAGTGGATCAGAGGAGGCTGTTGTTCCACTAGGGTTTCTGAGCTGGAGCCCGTGTAGGCAGACAAGAGCAGCAGAGAGGTACTGACACAATGGGCTGACTCTGAGGTCGTTTTGTCTCCAAATTCTTACCCTCATCCCCTGAAAAGGGGATGAGCAACTCAAGGGTCATGACATCCACCAAGTGTTGAATGGCATATCTTTTCTTGTTCTCCTCTTTGTGGTAGAGAATATATAGAATGACAGGGCGGATGTCCACAGTAAGCCTTTTCCTGGATCTTGAGTACTCTCATTTTGCAAATGAATCTCCACAACCCTCGAGACATCTATGCACAGACCATATCAATCTTTCATCTGTCTAGATGACATATATGGAAGATGACAGGTCATTACAAGGCAAAGTATGAGAACCCAGTGACCACCTTGAAAAAGATGGAATTGCTTCTGCATGGCATCTATGTCTTTCCATAAGCAAGTTGTGTGTATTAACATTATATGGTCTGTCTCTGGGCTACTGTTCCCCAGCTGGATGCCCTCCAGATAGTTTGGGCTTTAATTCCCATCATCCCTGATCATTGACCATGCAGCCTGGGACAGATGGGAGTTGCAATGCAAAACCTCTGGAGGAGTTGGGTTTGAAAATGCTGCTCTAGGTGCTTGCCCAAGATTCCTGACAGAGGCTTCCAGCGGCATGGAGACAAAACAGTCTTTTGAAACTTAGAACTAATGGCAAGTGGGTGGAAAGTAGCCTACCCCCCAAAATTTTAAAAAAATAAAGTCCTTGCTAAATGCTCATAAGCAAGAGAGGTGCAGCAGACATTTTAACATGAACTATGGATCATGTTTGTCTTAGAAATGAACCAGCGTGTTTAAACTTTATAGCACTTATAGATTTCCCCCCTTATTATTGTTAGCTTGTAATATATTGGGAACATGTCTCTTGATTGCATATGCTTTGAAGTATTGTACTTTTCCATTTCAGTGTTCGGGTTATGAATGTATACAGCCATTCTTTATACAGTACATTGACTATATGTATGGCTGTAAGCTAAATTCATTAAAACAGGAGTGATGGGGTATATAAGGTAGTTCTGACTTGCACAACATGCAGCTCTATAGTAAATGCTGAAGCACAGGAGTTCCATGTTTTTTAAGGGTGCTCTATTTCAGCTACATGAGTCTAACCACAATGTATATTTCTGTACATTCTGTGTAGCACAGGTCTGGACTGAAAATTGGGTTGTGGACCAAGCTACAATGGGTGTCTTCAGGGGCACAACTACTATATTCTTTTTTCCTTGTTATTATTGTTTAAAGAGAAAGAGAAAGAAAGATGGCTAAGCATGGAGAAAGAGACAAAGGGAAGAAAGGGAGAAACAACCAGGGGCAAAAATATACACACACTTCTATATCTAGAGCATGCCATGCAGCAGGTTGAAGTTAAATGTGAGTCCTAGGTCTGGAAACATTGAAAACTGCATTATTAACATGCAGGGCACAGTTAGAGAAGGCTAAGTTCACATTATATCCCACTAGTGAATGTTCAAAGCGAGTCAACATTCCTAGTAATAAGGCCTGTCCTTTGGGATTGTTCCTGTTGACATGTTGGATCAGTTCAAATCCCTTACATTAGTGCAAGGGTGACTAATCTGTGACCCTCCAAATGTTGCTGAACTTCAGCTCGCACCATCATTGACCATGCTAGCTTGGGCTGATAGGAGTTGTTTTTTATCAACACTGAAGCCACCCTGCTTCAGTGTACTCTGTCTATCTTTTGATCAGTGTATATTTTCCCCGCTATGCTTCTGAGTTGGAAATGTAGCTCTGCCACTGTTTCATTTATATGCATTTTGCCATATTCCAGGTATTATCAAAACCGCGCTTCCCAATATGGACAGAGAAGCAAAAGACCAGTATCTACTTGTCATTCAAGCAAAAGATATGGTTGGTCAAAATGGAGGGCTCTCTGGGACCACCTCTGTCACCGTCACCCTTACAGATGTCAACGATAACCCTCCCCGCTTTCCTCGCAGTAAGTTTCTGTGGATGATAAATGAGGAAGACTATATTTCTTATAAAACTAAATCTACATTAGTTTCAAGTCCAGTAGTGAGCCTTTCAGGTTCCCAGCTGTTCAAGTGTGTTGGCTGCACTACATGGTATGCCTGACCATTGCACCCTACACATATTCTGAGGGGTTATGCAAATGTCCATTCTCCATCTTTTGGATCCCTTTGGGTTTTTTTCGTGCATCTACGTGTGTTGCTAGTACTTGAGGATGCTTGATTTCTTTAGGACTTTGATTACAGTATTTCTGTGATTAATTATAAGGTGCATCAAAATACCCTGTGTAGGTGGATGCATAGTTGTTCTTGTGTGCATCTCGCATTGCCTGACTATCTCTGTCAATTCTCTCTCCCCCACCCCCCAAAGACACTGAGAGTTTCATAGAAAAATCAATCTGGGAAGAACTAGAAAACAATCTGCCCTCAATTTACTTGCTTTGACCAAGGTGGCTCATGACTGAACTAAGCAAGGAAAAGAAACGAGCTTATTTCCAGACTTGAGCTAGCCTGTTTATACACAGTCTGCTGCTCTTCTCCACCTTTCTTGTAAAGTCATTGCAGGAGTGAATTAGACTAATGTGAGGAACATATGCATGCCCAATCTGGTCAGTTTTCAAGTGGGTATGAAAAGAAACAAGCCAATCAAAGCAAGACTGGGAATTAGATTCTTTCCCCCCTTGAATTGTTTGGGTAATAATAAAACACCAGAGATTCAGCTTCTCGAAGTGAGAATGTTGGTGGCTTCAGCCTGCATTTTGTTAAGCTGCAATCTGTATCAATTTCAGCTTGAGCCGCAGGTTTAGAGTTTTCACAGGAGAAGAAGGATGCCTTTGCGAGAATAGCATTTATCTCAATTACATGGCATGAAGAGCCAGGAAACTGTCTCCTTAAGACACAATTAAGACTTATCTCTTATTTTACAAATGGATTTATTCTTTTCTTTGGTGACATGAGATATACTCAAGAGAAAATGTCATTGGCTGTAGTCTGCCTTGGTAGGAAAGTTAGGTTAAGTGTTATTTTTCCTTCTTAGATGTTATTTTCATCAGTTTACTTATGCATCACTTGCTTATGTGGATTTATAGTTGTGAGAGCAGAATAATGTTGGAGGAATGGACTCAAATAGCAAAGCTTAAAGAATTTGTTCCTTGCAAACTCCAATAAAAACAGATATTATCTGCACATCCTGAACTAATGTGTAGACCAGAACATAGCTATCCTTTGGATTTCACACTTCTCTGCATTTTTACAATGCAATTTTTGACTCAAAATGCATTTGCAAATTGATACTTCAGGAGGAAATACATTTAGAAATGAGCATTTTGAGAGAAAATACCTTTAAAAATGTATATTTTGCAAGGAAATATGTTACAATATACTGTATATAAATTTCCATGCAGGTGTTGTTGTTGTTTTTAAAAAAAACATAGGTTAAAGAAGAGCAGGCATATGAATGCATGCATTTGAAAGAGACATGGACTGGAAATAGAAAGATCCACCCTTAGATTCAAATAATACTGTGAGCAAAATTTAACTATTTTGGAGTGGATCTAACAAAGCCTGACCTATGAATATTTCCCTCCTCCAACATGACATTAAATACTACAAGCAAGGAAGGTGGCAAAAATAATTTTTAGAATAGATTGTGGATGGAAGGAAGGGTAGCAGCAGTCTACTTGTACAATGTGGCAGGTCCTTTTTGGACACCAGAAAGATGAACACCGTCCTATAGAGGGCACAGAGGAGAGAATGCTGGTGTTGTGATATTAAATCACCCAGTCTTCAACAACATGGAGCACTTTAGATGAACATGCTGGCTGGGACTGATGGAAGCTGCATTTCAGTCATCTTCACAATCAGCAGCAGCATCTTGAGGGCACCAGATTGGCCAAGGCTGAAAGAACATTTTCCCTCATGGCATTTTAAAGAAATACCAAATGTATTATGTTTAGAACCCTTCCGCTATAAACTATGTGAGGTCATTAATTGATTGATTGATTGATTGATTGATTGATGAACAGATGAAAATCCAGGGACTGTTCTGAACTTTACAGGATCATATCAATATAATGTCCCTGAATCGTTACCCGTGGCTTCGGTGGTCGCCAGATTAAAGGCTGCAGATGCTGATGTGGGACCGAATGCTGAAATGGAATATAAAATAGTGGATGGTGATGGCTTGGCCGTTTTCAAAATCTTAGTGGACAAAGAGACACAAGAAGGGATCATTACAATACAAAAGGTAACCTCACTTCATTATTTCTGTCACGGTACACAAGTAACATCATCTCACTTTCAGTTTATGCAAAGAAGAGGCTTCAGCGATAAGACAGATAAATAAATACCAGTGAGACCTGCAACCAAAGGTTGTATTATAGAGCACTGCTGCTTGGGATACCAGCCATTTCATTCCCCTTCACCCTGTTTTCTGTCCCTCACCTCCTCTAACCATCAGCTAGCAGACCATGGCCACTCATAGTTTCTATTGGTCTGTTTCTGGGGTTCCCACCTGGGGGGGAGGCTCTAAATATTTTTGTTCTTCTGAAAACCTTGGGGTTCTCCCAATCTTGCTGACATCTCACATGTGGGGTGATGCCATTTTGATTACATAACCAACAACTCACAGTCTGAACATTGGAAATCGAGAGAAGGATGCCTTAATCATAAAACACACATTAAGAATTCTCAGCTATGTAGAGCTCCCCCCCCCCCCGCGCCGCCTTAGTCAGCTAAAAGGTAAATATCAGAAGTGATTTCATCGAATGCCAACATACATACATTAATTGAAAATGGATAGAGTAACCTCAGTAGTTATGTCAGGGTTAACAAGAAATGTATCAACAGTGCCAAGAAAGAAATGTTGTAGTTCTGTGGTTGAATGGACAGAATGAAGGACGAATTCTGAAAGTTCAATCATCCTGTGGTTTTGTTCTATACATATGGAATCCTTGCAGTAGACAAATTGTCATTGATGTTACTTTTTCCATGAACAATGAATGATTCTGTAAATGAGGGAGTTACTTTCCCCTTCCTTCTCAGTCTGTTCAATGGGGAAGATAGGAATAGATGGTCCCTTTAGGGAAATCTAGTTGATTCTTAATCTGAGTATGTGCCACAGAAAACAGTTTTGTTTTCATAATTTTTGTTGTTTGAAGACAGTATTGCAGTCTCCTTCCTTCCTTCCTTCCTTCCTTCCTTCCTTCCTTCCTTCCTTTCTCTTTCTGTGTGTGTATGCGTGTGCACATGCGTAAGTGCATTTCAGTATTGTTGTAATTTTCTGATTTTAGTCTCTTTGTTCTTATTGCATTGTTTGTTTTATAATCCCCAGTGAAATTGCCTGATCGAACAAGGTTCCTGGGACTCTTGTTCATTTGACAGATGCACAAACCTGATTAGTGTTAAGATTAACCAAAAGGGGGGAAATGATTCTCCAGCAACAGGCCTTTTAATGATAGATTACCGTAAATTATATCATTTGATAGTTGTCATATAGTTTTGTTTAAAAGGAGAGTCTCAGACAGCTTCCTTTGAAGAATAACTGCGTATCGAGTCCTTCCTTCCTTCCTTCCTTCCTTCCTTCCTTCCTTCCTTCCTTCCTTCTCTTGTTCTTCTTCAACAGAGAGGGCTTGCCTTGTAATTTCCTTCAGACAAGACAAAATGCTCACTTTTTTTCAAAAAAGTTGAATGGATGAGGCATAGGATCTAATCAGATAACACTAATGCACAGATATTAATGAAGCTGTCAAGCTCCATTCACTGTGCTGAAGGAAGAACCAAAGTATGCTTTGTCTTTTTAACCTTCAGCACTGTTCTAGTGATTTGTGAGATGTTTGTCTGCTATTCTAACAATCCCCATATTTCAGTTATGGTCAGGAAGGGGTAAAGTGAATGCCAGCTAAATGATGGTTGTTATAAAATAAACATTAGCGTCAAAGTGAAGCAAAACAAACAAAAAACAAAAAAACCCTTTTGATGGAGCATCTTTAGAAATTAAAGCCTCTCTAAAACTTTCTGCATTGTAAGAGCTACTTTGCTTTCCACTATGTCACTGCAAAATTTCATCGTTTCATTCATGAGAAAATCAATAAAACGACTATTCCCCCCCCATCTGATCCAGTATTTGAGAGCAAGAGTCCTGTCAGACAGATGGAGCCATTTAATTATTGCTACATGGAATCACAGAGTTTGAAGAGATCCTGAGGATCATCTAGTCCAACCTCCTGCAATGCAGGAATATGTCGTTGTCCCTTACAGGGATCGTACCTGAAACCATTGTATTATCAGCACCATGCTCTAGCCAACTAAGATGTCTGTCAGTTCAGGGTGAGCAGGATCTAATTCTGTGGGAAGGGCTGAATGTTGTATATGGCAGCCAATCCTGATTAACAACTGTGGGAAAGAGGTCCCTAGGCACTTACCAGCAAGCATTTGCTTGATAGCAGCAGAGAGACTGGGCGGCTGGCACATGGCTCTTGAACAGTCAGAAACACCCAGTGTAGGCCTATAGCATGATCAATCCATGCTCAAATGTGACACTGCCTGGCCATGCTCTTAAACAGTATATAATTTATTTTTCCTCCCCTGCTCTATTATTATCTGTTACAACAATAAACTATTGCAATTTATAAAACACTAGAGTACTGGTGTTCTTGTCACATTATCCACTTTCCTCTATGAGTTCACACTTCCGATGCAAGACATTAAAACATTAACAAATCCACGGAACGCATTTCTCCATTCTGACATTTTCTGGCATTATTCTATGGACACTCCACACTTGAAGCTCTCATTCTTATGCTAAATGATGGTGCCACATGCTATCTGAACATAGTAAGAGTACCTCCTACCCCAGTAAAAACAATTAGGCATGTCTATTTCTGATTCAGGAGAGAACAGAGTTAGTTAGCAATTGTTGTATGTCTTTATGTCAAGTGAGCATTATGCTATAGTCATCAAACTCTTTCTGTCTGCTGTATTTTTATTAGGAAACTTACAAGAGGGCTGCTTTAAATAGATTTCCTTTGTTTTTTTCACATCAAGTACTTAATGTCTTGAAAAACTGGCAATAGTTCATACTCCATTCACTTTTTCCAACTGGCTGCTTTTGTTGTAATAATTTTCCATGAAGCAGTTTTACGAGACTGTATGCATGATGTATCTATACATTTCAGCAATTCTCACTCTTGTTTTTGCAGTTGGTACAATCTTGCAAAAACAGCAGTGATTGAGACTTGTTGAAATGTAATTATTTACCTCTTTATTATATTCTTAACCCAAACATTCATCATATGATCCCAGGTTGGTTTACAGTTCTGTTACTTAGCAATTCCAATGGGAAAATTCATAATGCACCATATTCACAGCATTGCTAAATAAAATAGCAAATGTGATAATAATATGTTGGTTGAAGTATGTGTGTATATCTGCAACTTCCTGGGCAGTGCAGTTGGTATGAATCCTAAACCCCGAACCAAAGTACTTTGGAAAGACCCAGGACTTGTCCTCCATAGCTCCCCACACTGAATCAGACCCCTTCCAAAACTTGGGGTCTTAGTCAAAGAGACACAAAGACACAGACAGTTTGTGAAAACCTCCAACACCCAATATAACTTTGGTGGTTTGTTTATTTTTAAAATTCAATTTATATCCTGCCCTTGCTCTGAAAAGAGCCCAGGGCATCACATAACGATAACGTTATGTATGATTGTTGGGAGACGGGAGAAGTGCCGTTGTGAGTGATAGCTCTGGTTTCGAGCCACAGAATGACCTCAACGGGAGTTTCATTTTATTTTCATTCACGGTGCTTTTGGGAGAGATATGGAAGGCTCTGATCAGCTGCTTTCATTTATCATAACTCTCTAATCTCTGGACCTATCCTTATGAAGTTTTGCAGGTTTTTCGGATAGGGTTCCCCTCACTGTTTATGCTGTTTTCATACATACTAAGGCACCAAAAGTGGCTCCCCAAGTCCTGCTGCTGCTTACCAAACAGTTTGAATCCATTTTTTGTCCTTACCTGACCTCTTGTGTAATTTGTAGGCACTTATTTGATCTGCTACCTCCTACGTTGTGAAGTGTTGTGATAGCAACATTAACTGCAATTTGTCCTACCATTCTTCTTAATCAATCTAATTTACATGTTTGATTGTGACATTAGCAGCAGTTCAACTGCTTACCATTTGGCTGATTTATATGATTTGAAAACAGCTTCACACACTCAAAAATATTATTATGATTTATTATTGTTAGCTTGAGTTCCATTATTTACTCTCATTAAATAATTATCTTGTTTTCTAATTACCCACATTTTGAAAGTTAATGTGTAAAAATATCAAATAAACCAATCAATTACTAAGCAAATTCTGGTTTCTTTTCTTCATTTCTTCTCCTGAACATATGCTGTTACCTTATAATTAATAAAAAATAATATTTTTATGTACATTAAATTTCAAAAATTAGCAATACAAAGAGACAGTTTACTTACCAATGCAAACAACATTATGCAGTGTTCTTGCATTATGCAACCATGTCCTGGTAGAAGCTCCGTGGAACTGCATTCTATTCATTTAGTTAACAAAATGTATACACTGCTTACTAGAACAAAAGTCCTCTAATGCTTTACAATGGACAGTTCAAAGTATTCATTAAAAACACAAATAAAAATAAACATTAAAAACAAGTTACACAAACATATTAAAATGGAAAAGGCAGTAATTTCAAAACACTGCTACTTACTAAAATCACATACTAAAATTATGTGCCTAGGTAGGATCGCAGTAAGAAAAAAAAAGTCTGTAGCAGTCACCAAAAACAATAACCTGCCATATATCAACAGACAAGGAGATCTAAAGTGTAAGTGCTGCCACACTTAAGGTTCAGTTTCTTGCGTGTGTGAAATCAACAAATTTTGGCACTTCTAAGTGGTTGAACTGGCATGTATGGGGTGAGGCATTCCTTCACAATCTGATCCCCAGCTACTGAGTGCTTTACTTGCTAATAATAATGTCTTGAATTAGGCCCAGTAACAAATTGGCAGGCAGTTTAGATTTCTAAGCAAGGCTGCTGTATGCTGAAAGGGTCTCGTTCCTGTCAACAATCATGCTGCCGCATTCTGGGATGTGGGTGGCGCTGTGGTCTAAACCACTGACCCTGTTGGGCTTGCCGATCAGAAGGTCGGCAGTTTGAATCCCCGCAACAGGGTGAGCTCCCATTGCTCTGTCCCAGCTCCTGCCAACCTAGCAGTTCTAAAGCATGCCAATGCAAGTAGATAATTAGGTACCGCTGTGGCAGGAAGGTAAATGGCATTTCCATGCGCTCTGGTTTCCATCACGGTGTCCTGTTGCACCAGAAGCAGTTTAGTCATGCTGGCCACATGACCTGGAAAGCTGTCTGTGGACAAATGCCAGCTCCCTCGACCTGAAAGCCAGATGAACACTGCAACCCCATAGTTGCCTTTGACTGCACTTAACTGTCCAGGGGTCCTTCACCTTTACTTTTTTTTTTTAACCTAACTGTAGCTTTTGGACCAAACACAAGGGGAGCCCTACTTAGAGTTCTTTGATGTAATCCTCTCTTGAAGTCACCATATTCTGTCTAAAGTTTGGTAGACTAGGTATTCCTGCTTGGCTCTCCATTTAGCTAGACTACATTTAGCTCCCCAATTAGCTGGATTATTTAGTGTTCTTACTGGTGTGGTAGATGCTCTTTCACAGAACCTTATTCCATTTGGACCTCAGTGTGGGTTGACTTTTAAAATCTCTGTTGCTGAGTGGGGGGGGGGAATCTGTTATGTGAATTAGCTCAGACTGTGAGAAATATTGGCATTGTGGCACAAGTAACATTTTGTACTTAGGAATGGTAAGCCTACATATGATTCACTCATATTTGCATGTCAAAGAGCTGGCTGATTATAATTTAGAAGTTGACTCTGCTGCTTAAACTTCTAAATCACTTTTTCTCTGTAGGACTTGGATTATGAAGCCAAGGCCAGCTACACCTTGAGAATAGAAGCAGCAAATAAGCAAGTTGATCCTCGTTTTTTAAGCCTTGGGCCCTTCAGTGATATGACAACAGTGAAGATCATTGTGGAGGATGTAGATGAACCACCTATATTTACCTCACGTTTGTACACTATGGTAGTGTCTGAAGCAGCTAAAGTAGGCACCATCATTGGAACTGTTGCAGCTCATGACCCAGATGCATCTAACAGTCCTGTGAGGTAATTTTGCATTTCATGTCCTACTTTTGCTGCTACTTATATCTATATCCAAAAAAATTACTGTCTTCCCAGATAGAAAAAACACCTTGGGTTGTATCAAGCTAAGTTCTTCTCAGAGTTGTTGTTGGCTTCCATCGTTCTCAAGAGACAATGAAGTATGCCTCCCGGGGTGGAGCCAAACCACTGGAGAATCACAGTGCCTGCTGGGGCTGCAGAGACCAGTAACTCACACTGTTTTTTGCTTCATTAACAGCACTGAAATGACCTCTTCAGGGGGCAAGACTTGGGCTCCCCAGATGACAATATTTCCCCCCTCTTGGTCTCACTGATGTGGTCCAAAGGAAAGCAGAGCAATACATTTTGCACCAGCTTGGTTGCAGTAGTTGCCAGAAGGAGGCATACAAGATGCCATTCAACTGCCTTAGGGACTCTACTCTGGATTTGCGCAGGGTTTACTCTTTAGCGCCTCTTCTCTTAAAGACGTCATGCAATGGAGTGGGTATGGAGTTTCCCTTGGGATTTACTCCTGAATCCTTTCTCATGAATGAATATAGTGGAAGTTTAGGATCAGAGTTTTCCTTCTCCTAGATGGGCCACCTTCTCAGGTTGATGAGTCGCATCTGCCCCTCACTTCCCTCTACAGCACATGCAGTAACCGCCTTCTTGAACATTGGGCCCAGTATTGGTCCTGTCTTCTCAATCCACCAAAGTCTGTAACTCACTGAAGGTTTAAGACCCATAAGCTACCCTCTTCTGGTGTAGCTGCTGTCACATATTGACCCCTTCCCTGAGCCACAGGTGAGAGCTGAGTGCAACTCTCCAAAAGTGGACAGACTACTCTAGAAGGAGCATGTCATGTCCCCAGCAGAAGTACTACCCCTTTCCTCCCCAGAGTAAACCCACTGGAACTAGTAGACCTAAGTTAGACATGCCCATTAATTTCAATGAGTATATTTTTAAGTACAGCTTAGTTAGATACTGCTGAGCATATTTTGTTGTCATTTGGATTGACTTGTCTTGGTATTTTCTGGGTTCAAGACAAAGCTTGGGAAAGGAACTTTTAAGTTCACTTTGATGTGGAATGGCCTGTGCACTCCCATTATGTATGCATAGGCCGTGCATTGCTTGTGAAAGTCTTTACTCATGTGGAGTTTCACTTTGCTAAGGACCCTTGAGCAGCCAAATCAACATATCACCAATTTGTTACTACGTTGTAGCTGTAAACAGATTTAAATCCTTTGGGGCACAGCATAATACAAATATTTAAAAACATAAATATTCTTTCTACCCTGCAGTATGCGCCCATATAATTACATTTCAGTGATTTTGTTGTATCCCTGTGTTTAAATCGCCTTAAAATATACTCCCCACTCCCAGCACTACACATGAAATCATAACTGGATTATGTAAGGAAAATATTTTGTAGAAGACAAGAAGCCATTATTATCCACAATCCATAGCTTATGTTCCAATTAAATTAATTACGCCAAACGCTTTGCAGAACAAGTTATTTACAGAAAGGAAGCAATGTGTATGCTGGATGCATACTGGATGTGCATTTTGCAGAAATCTCTTCCCAAGCCTCTCTTTACTGGAGGTGCATTCATTTATAAAATTGTATCTTTGTAGCTATTTCCTTGCAATGTAAGTGCTGAAAATGTATTTCAGCCCACAAATATTTCTCTCTTTCTCTCACACACATTTTCTCTCTCTCTCTCTCTCTCTCTCTCTCTCTCTCTCTCTCTCACACACACACACACACACACACACACACACACACACTGCTGTTTTTCATATATATGTATATCTGACCCTAGGTTGGTCAAAAAGGGAGCTCTTCAAAATAACTTAATGTGATTCAAAAGTACTGTGAATGTTCATAGAATGTTTATCAAATACTTGTGTAAAAGAGCAAATACAATTGATAGGCCTGAGCTCTGTCTGTTTATAGGGCAGCAGTGCTAACCATGCAGTGTGTTATTGGAGCTAGACTGAAATCATGTTTAGGTGCCGGGGCTCCCCTTGAAAAATATATGATGAAATAAGAAGAGATCACCTTTTAACACATGAAGTGTGTCCTTTTGTCATCTGGGACTGGGGGAAAGGATGAAAGTTCCAGAGGATTCACAGCTACCAAACTCAAAATGATATGAAGTGTAAGGCCTTTAGCCTTTTTATATGCCTGCCTGCCTTTGTTTAGTCCTGATTAGAATTTCTCCCAAGCTTGGCAGCTTGAAAGAAAGAGAAAACGGGGCAGTACATCTGATAAAACATATTGTTGTCACTATTTGTTTTAGACATCTTACACTTATTCATTATTTCAGTATATAAGTGTACTTCTATACAGGTTCCCTAAATTACTCTGCCATAAAGGTTTTTATTGCAATCCTCCTCATTTTGTTGTCTGCTTGAGAAAATTGAACTACAGCTTTTAAAGTGACTGGCTCTATCACTTAAAACGCAGATTGAGCCTGTCTAGGAAAAGTGATTTCAAACACCTGTATAGTCAAAGACTCATTGAACAGCCTTGGGAGCATTACTATCTCTCTCTCAGCCTTAGCACAGGAATTATAGTAGTCTACTTCAGTTTAATGGGACGCAGGTGGCACTGTTAGGTTAAACCACAGAGCCTAGGACTTGCAGATCAGAAGGTCGGCGGTTCGAATCTCTGTGATGGGGTGAGCTCCCGTTGCTCGGTCCCTGCTCCTGCCAACCTAGCAGTTCAAAAGCACGTCAAAGTGCAAGTATATAAATAGGTGCCGCTCCAGTGGGAAGGTAAACGGCCTTTCCGTGCGCTGCTCTGGTTCGCCAGAAGCTGCTTAGTCATGCTGGCCACATGACCCGGAAGCTGTACGCCGGCTCCCTCGGCCAATAAAGCGAGATGAATGTCACAACCCCAGAGTCGGCCACGACTGGACCTAATGGTCAGGGGTCCCTTTACCTTTACCTTTACCTTTACTTCAGTTTAAGGAAACACCCAGGGTTGTATCCAGTGCTCCATGTGCATTTTTTCACTGGTGCAACTAGACTTCCTTGTCCCTCAGCCTCCAGCGCTGTTTTGATGCTGTTCAGGGGGCTAGAGGGGAAAATGGGAGGAACAGGAAACTCTTCTGCTGGTGGTAGCATCTAGTGAACAGAACCACTCAAAAGTGTGACCCAAAAAGCAAAATTCAGCTTGGATACAGTTTTATAGGTCTCCCCAAATCATTGGAGCAGGGGTTGAGGGATGAGGGTACAGGGGGCTGCAGTGGGAAAGGAAGGGAAGAGAGAAAAATGTTGTGCAAGCTGCCTACACTTATGCTGCTTGAATACAACCCAATGTTATTAGAAGGCTTTAATCAGCTGAATTTTTCTCAAGGAAATATGTCATGCAAACTAATGTTCTTGGAACCGGCTTTTGACTAGCTATGCTGAACAGTGTCAGGGTTAATAGCTAGGAAGCTTGAGAGCTGTCCAGAGATTAAATTCCATCTGCCCAGGCCTGCCAAGAATGGCTACATTGCAAAGGTGACAGGCGATGTCTCTGGGGGAAGGATGCCAACCATGAAGCTGTTCAAGAGCTGTGCATTGCTGACCAAATACAGCAGTTCAAGCATGAGGAGAAAACAAAAGCAGGGAGTTACTAAAATGAAAGCCAAATGAGCATGTCATCAGTGCAGAAACATTCCTAAAGGGTAGGCAATAAAAATAATTGATGCTCTTTGGGTTCATTAAACTGGACCAAGTTAGTTAGAGTCACACAAGGGGTCAGATTTTCAAATTTCATCTGCAAGGGTCCTCTAAACCCCCCAAAAATTTTCCAGGGTTGCAGAGAGAAGGGGTGGGACAAAACTCCATTCTGTGATTGTGAATTCTGTTCCATTCATGGAAGATACATTAAGATCCAGGCCACTGCCTTCAGTAACTAAAATGCAATGATATTGATATTTTTGTAATATGCAGATATAGTTTAAAATGTAATTGCTCACTCAGTGAAAACAACAAAAATATTTTGATTGGTTAACAGCCCTGCAAATAATTAGCGACTGGCACTCATGTCAGTTTCACAAAATTCTAAATGTTCCCACTGGCCCAAAATGGTGGGTGACCCCTGTTGTATATTTGCAGAGCCTTTTTGAGCAATGTGATAGAAAATCCTGCCTTTTCTGTTCTATGAAAGCACTGTTGATTCAGGAAACCATTGTAGTGGATTACTGCACTAAGAAACAGGATGAAGGCTTGCCATCTGGGAATAATACTGTGAAGTACAAATGTGCAAACTGTCTCATCTTTACAATCAAAATCATCACTGTTTGAGCTATCCATCCTTTTGGTTAAAAGTGAACGAAGACACACACACACACACACACACACACACACACAAAGAGAGGGTTTTTTATTGTTGTCACTTCCGAGGAAAGTGGAAGCATTTCATGTGAAGAGAACATAATTTGCAACAGCTTGTCCTTGCCTTTTTTCAAGCAGTGGTATTTGCATCCTTAAGCATGTTCCCACAGCATTGTGAACCTAGTTCTCTCAGTAGTTGCTATGGAAGATCTGAACTTTTGCTTTACCTTGATTGGTCAAAGAGGTAAAAATCCTGACCTGCTTATTTCTTTCCAATCAAGCTGTGGAATGCTGTGTGGCCTTTCCATCTCCCTTCTTCTCCACTGTACATTAATTGACTAAAGTACTCGTGTGTGTGTGTTTTTCAGAGTCTTTTTGCTGGGAACCCTTCTGCAGGTATCTTAAAGTAAAATGTGGATGCTACTCTATTTTGATTTGCTTATGTAGAATCCTAGTTAAATAGTTTCCAGTGCTACTTACACCAGGGCAGGAAAACCTGCCACACGCCAGACATTATTGGACTTCAGTTTTGGTCAGCCTTAATTAGCATGATCAATGAATGGTCATGGATTAGTAGTACAATAAATGTGGAGGGCCACAGGTTCCCTAACCCTGATTTACATCCACATCACAACTACACTTTCCTTTATGTGCATTAATTTGCTTCTCTTTGCCTCCTGCATCATGTTAGAGAGATTAATGTGATTGAGAACTCCCTTTCAATGGAAGGTGATCCTTTTGGATGGATGAGTCACTGCCCCACCAACCTCAGTCTACCCTCGGCCAACCCTCACCTGCCTACCTTCTGACTTAAAACTGCCTGTTAGCTTTCTCCTCTTAATGTCTCAGTGTTGTCCCTTTTAGAATTCAGCCGGGAGGACGATAGGGGGCAAAACAAGAAACACTTGCTCCAGCTCTGGCTCTCATTGTCTCTGGCTCCTCCTAATGTTCAGTTCTCTGACTTCTACCCTACCAGTCCCAATGGGCATCATCAGCAGGGCTATAAAAAAACAAACAAACTTATTTCATGGCAAGCAGGTGACTTCAGGCTGTCATATATTCACTGTCAATCAGCATTCCAGTTAAACACAATCTGGCCTTCTGGTATATTGTGTTATATCAAAGGTGTGTTTCTAATGGATCTAAAAGTACATAGCCAATTTCCAAGATGGTAATTAAGCAGTCAACAATGGGCATTTTCTCCCTTTCTCATGGCTTATTTTCCGTCTGAGCTTTTCTCCTCCTTGAAAACAGCTTGGGGGATCAGGCAAGGCGAGCTTAAGCCAAGGTTGCTCAGTGACAGGAGTCTGTTTGTATGATGACAATAAGGCCCCAGGAGCAAATGTAGTAATATGTAATCCCTGACCTACTCTACAGTTTTCTTATTCACCCCATGGACTTTTCTGCCTGTGACAAAAAGTTCAATGTCTCGCAGTGGAAGCTCTGCTGGGAACCACAGGGGATTGATACAGCCAGGTGGCACAGTTCCAAATCTATTCCACATTAGGTTGGGTTCAGAAGTAGAGTCTTCCAAAAATAAATGAGTGGTCGACCTAAGAGTAAAAGAGCAGAAATGGAAAGGAAATACCTGTGACCTCAGTTAGGAAGGTATCATGAAATGCAGGAACTGAGCCATCTTTCCTCGACACAGTGAATTTTGCAGAATCAGATGGCTCTGTGTAACAAACTCTCTGTGTGCTGTAAGGGCTGTAAGACAGCTTACAACAAAGGAGAAAAGAATCTGGATGAAAAGCTCTTTGAGCTTAATGTGAAATAAATGAAACTTAACACGCACACACATTGCAATTATACATACATCAAAAGTTTTCTTTCATCTTTCATCCAGGTACTCAATAGATCGAAACACAGACCTGGAGAGATATTTTAATATTGATGCCAACAGTGGGGTGATTACCACTGCGAAGCCGTTGGATAGAGAAACAAACGCTGTTCATAACATCACTGTCTTGGCTATGGAGAGTCGTAAGTTCCCACTGCAAAGCCATTTTTTAAGCTTTTAAAAGTGTTGGTGAAATGAATCAAGTTGTTCACGAAGAACTTTAAGTGTTGGAAGAGATGCCTTAAGCCATAAACAGTTAACTGTAATGAGTTAAAAGTTAATGCTATTTCATGCTAATTCTCTAAGGTTTTTAGGCAGTATCATGTATCATAGAATCCTGATCTTAGAACTATAGTGTCTCAAAGAGAGCAGAAACAGTCTTAATGTATTTATATTTTATTTTTTAATCTTCCATGAGCATCTCCTTGGATTAAAAGAGAGAGGATAGAAATCAAAGAGTTAAATAAATATATGGGGCAGGATTCACCTAGGATTCACCCAGCAGCAGAAGCCCTGTTCAAGGATTTATGCATGCAAAATGGGGTTTTGCCCTATCTCTTTCCACTGCCCCCCTCCAAATTGTCTTGAGGGGTCTGATGAATCCCCAAAACAGTGGGGGGGGGGAGAAGAGAGGAATTGTTCCCTCTGGCAACCTGAAGTGTACATGCAAATAGAATGAATGGAAGAATGTGGCTTTGAATTTTACCCATGGTGTTAGAATTGACAGTGTATGCAGAAGTAGTCAACAAGGTGCCCACCAGAAACTTGGAATGCAACTCCCATTAACATGGACCAGGGGTGGGAAATATTTAACATATGGCCTAAACTGAGGGACAAATTTGGCCCATGAGGTTACTTCTCAAAAACCACTTCTACCTTACAATCTGCTGATGTCACTCTGATGGGGGATGGGTGGGTCAGGGTTCAATCCTGCATTGGCTGCTTACACTGTTTCTAGCAGGGCACTTGGGGCACATACAGCAGAATGTAACCCCTTCTCATCAGTTCATGAGTGATGGTTAATTCCTGCTGAGTCTAGCTGTAAGTGTCTATTCCCCTGCTAGGAACAGGTGCATGGAGCCAAAGCACAGCATAAGTCTGTTTGAAAACCCTTTTGCAAACAGTTCCACAATGCCTTTTTAAGCTCACTTTTCATGGGTTTGATGAAGAGGCTGCTTGCAAAAGGGCTTTCAAGCAGCCTACAGCACCCTCTGAAGTCCTGACAACCAGGGCTTCAAAGCATACTATCACCTGGCATCATAGTTATGCCATGTGATTTACAAATGGGCTGGCTTGCATGTCTGTCAGATTTGGCCAACAGGATTGGAGAGATAACCATCCAGCCCTTTGGCCAATAAAGTTTTCCCCAGCTGTAATCCAACAACATCTGAATGGCACCATGTTGTATACCAATTATACAATATAACAACTTGCGACTGTAGAATTACAGTTTACTTACATTTGTATAACAAGGGTTCATTGATACTGCTAGATTAAGACCCATCATTTGTCATAGATGCATCCATGGTTATACAGGGAAAATAATTACAATTCTCTAACTGCTGGCAAAAGAAAGGAAATGGAAGGAGCTGGAGAAATTATCCTTCTTTATTCCCTTCCCTGTACCTTTTTCTCATTCATTCAGTGTGGGCCATTAGGAGAAATAGGACAATGTACTTGAAGAACCATGGCAGCCCTTTTCTTCTTTTCAGTTTTGGTTCACTCTTAGTGACAAAAATCCCACTGACAACTTAATTTTGTGGTTCCAGAAATATGGAACATATTTCATAGTTTCAGAATTGGTTCATTATGAATAATAATAACAACTGGTTCTTGTTCTTTGCAACAGAAAACCCTTCACAAATTGGGAGGGGATATGTGGCCATCACTATTCTTGACATCAACGACAATGCTCCTGAGTTTGCAATGGATTATGAAACTACTGTCTGTGAAAATGCAGAACCTGGCCAGGTGTGTATTTATATTCCTAACAGCTTGATGATATTTGCTGCACAGCAGTAATTTGATTTGCATTGATGCCTCTTTTAAGATAAAATATAATCAGTTTATTGCAGTAAAAATGACATGTTGATTTGAAGCTAAAACAAACATTAACTAGATATGAAACCATCATCCACGAGCCTGTGAGAAAACTGCACAGGTAAATCTACACTGCATATGATTTTGATCATCCTCTACACTTCCTAATCCATGAAAATAGCAAATTTCCATTCCTCCAGTTAATTTCACTAAAATAGATCTTTTTTAGGGTAAAACTACACTGAGTACCAGCTAGATGCTTTTATGCTCGGATTCCAAAAATGGCCTTCTTTCTCATGTGTCCTCAACTGTTGAATAATGAATCTCTCATAATTCCTTGAATTCCTGGAACATATTAATTCTTTAAGAATTGCTACTGGGTCACATCCCACCAACGTTCTCAATTCAGCTTGAATTTTTAAAAAAATATTATCAGCAGAGGCGTTACCCAATTAAACTGTTCCACCAACACAAGGTTTTTTAGATAAGCAATGAACTTCCCTGCCCTTTCCTTATTCAGCTCCTAAATATGTTCTGGCAGTTCTCACAACCTTCTGGATTCAGATTTGCATGGCATTCAGGAAGTGTTTAGGGAGGATGGGGAGGTTTTATTGTGCAACTAAAACTCCTTGTGCTAGCAGAACTGTTTAGATGGATATTTCCCCAGGTTTTTATCTGCACAGACACTATTTAAATGCCAATGGCTGCCTGTGCCCCCATGCAACATTTTCCCCAATTTAACTCTTTCAGCATCCCTTGTAATCACACACACAAAATTAACAGGGGTGCTATCAAAACAGAAACTCTAAACCAAATTCTGATGAGTGCCTGAATTTTGATGAGTACCTGAATGTAACAAAAACAGACTGTGGGTCACACCACTATATAAAATTTCCTCTCCCTTCTTAGAGCTCTGAGAAGTTGCCTTTTATTGAATGCAGACTAAAATATTGCCTTGTATTTAATGCAAACTAAAATCTAACCTGAAGGCAAATCACTTTTCTCTCTAGGCAATTCAAAGAATCAGTGCCATTGACAAAGATGATCCACCTAGTGGTCATCAATTTTCCTTCAGTTTGGCAGGGGAGGCTGCAAATAACCACAACTTTACATTACAAGATAATAAAGGTAAGGTACTGGCTGTGATTGTCAATGTCAACCCAAGGGCATTGTGAGCGTTGACACACCAACACTCTTATTTCTTCAGACAGGCAATACCGACTGTCATCTGGAGTAACTTCACTGTCAGGAAGAACATTAATTAAGAGCAATCAGACCCCAAAGTAATTTTTATCCATAGATTATCTGTCAGGAGAAAGAAGCTGCTGCTTAAATCATTTTAAGCCATGAGCCAAACAGATGGGCTTCAGATCCATTCTTAAACAGACTCTTTTTCACTTTTTGTTTTTATAGGTCTTTATCTAAATTAGATTATACCTCAGGGCAGCAGCTGAAAAATTTCCTGGGTCTCATGTTTGATTAATGTAACTCAGGAAATATAGAAATGAGCCCTTAAACACATGGCAAATTGGCCACCTCTTTGAGAAAACAACTTTTTCATCCATATCTTCTGCTGCTAAAAATACTTTTTGGAAACACAAGCTAAAGGTTCCATGTTTCTAGGCTGTTAGTATGATTTCGCTCTCCTACGTGGAACAACATTTTGCTGAAGGGTAGAGATCCTTGCAAAGTTGGAAAGAGCTATTCTTGCTTTATTTATTTATTGTATATTTCATTTGCCCTTAAAGGTGGATGTTGGAAAGAATTCTAGATGAAGTCCTTCAGCTCCCCATCTCAAACATGAAAAATAAATGCAGCAGATCCTCCAAAACAGAAAGCCATTACCCTTTTCTGAAGGGTAACCTTAACTGGTGTGAGGACTGGTACCGGACATTTCAAAGGAGGAAATCTGTGTCACGTATAATGGTTCAATCAATGCCACTGCAATTTGCAAGTTCCCATTTACAAGTTCTTGAATCTTCTGCATTCCAAAATAAGCATGTAGAAGTTAGGAGGCTTTTCATTGTTTCGTTGCTGTTTGTTGATAACTAGTTTTATTTTTGGAAAATGCTCCCCTCTGTTTCAGGTTTTACAGTTTGTTTTAAAAAATACAAATATGCCAATTATGATTTCTCACCGTATTCACAAGTGATGTTTAAGCTTGCACCTCCTCCAGAGAGAAAAGCATATATTGGTTCTGAAACTGGCAGGAGATTTTTAAAGTCAGTTGTCACCTTTTTGTATATTTTTAGTATATACACTGAAATATTTGTTATTCATTTATTCAAAGATCTTAGGTGTGATCCATTAGCAAAAAGTAAATTATTTGTTGTATCTGTTCATCCGTGAACATCTGAAAAACAATTGGAAATCAGTTGTGACAGCAATTTGTGTTGATTCACATGGTACCTCTGAGAGGAATTTCAAGAGCTGCTAATTTTATTAAGTCTCAAATGCACATCCTTTTAATATACATAGCAAGAGGCAAATATACATGAATTATCTTCAGAATGTGTCATTTATAATGCATTTTTGCTCACTTTACTCCTTGAAAGATGTTAACAGAGATACATTCATTGAGGATGTTCTCTTGACTACATAGATTTGCCCCCTAAGTTTCAGTCTGGACTTCCTTAGTTCCAAGGTTATGTTTTTTTTAACAAAGCCATCTGAATTATTATAATAAACAGCCCCATTTTAAGAAACAATCCAATGTTTTAAACCATGAGCCACCAAAGAAAAATACTGTTCTCATCTTCTCCAGCTGATGTGTTGTACACTCAGCTATGTTAGTGTCCTCATGTATGACGCTGATGATATAATTATGGATAATAGCAAGAAGCCTACAGAAAGGGCTATAACTCAGTATTAGAGCACATACTTCACATCAATCAATTTGGCCTTTCCAGGTCAGTGTAGACAAGATTGAGGTAGACCATCTTATAGACCATTCTGTTTTCTTAAGAGCCTTATCTTTCCCTAATTGGTTAGAGCAAAGAGAAAAGATCTGCTTCACAAAGTTGTGCATTAAGGGGGGGGGTGTTTTTCTTTAAGTGCCAACAGATAAGAAACTCAGGACCAAACAAAGTTCATTAGAACTTAGCCATTACTTGCAAGTGAGCTGTCATTTGCACACACACTTAAGTGCCAGTGCAGATCATCTCTCTCTCTCTCTCTCTCTCTCTCTCTCTCTCTGTGTGTGTGTGTGTGTGTGTGTATACAATATTTATTTTGTGCTCATGGGTACACAGTTGTATACATATTCTTCCTTGTGTAATTTACTTTGTGCCATTCATACGCATTAGATTTCCATCCAATTTAAACCATGAAGTGCTGTACTTTTTAGAGAAACAATTAATTTAAAGCACCTTTAAGAGACCTTTACACTCCTTGACATTGGAATCCTGATATCGTTTTCTGAGAATTTGCACATTTTTGTTTAGATTAGCAGTGGCATTATTCAAATTCTTAACTGAACGACAAATCCTTTTCTCAGGGTTTGATGAACACATCTCTTCCTACACACACACACACACACACACACACCCCGAAACACTCTACAAAGATAGAGTGGCTAGAGATACTCATGGAAGGCCAAGTCATGTAGTCCTCTTTTTCAAAAAAAATAAACAAATGGGAAAAAGTGAGTGAAATTTAACATATGAAATGAAGCATTCATGATAAATTTTCCTTTATGGGCCTAGTGGATCAGAACATGTCTCCCTGCTGTTCTCCACATGCACATGGATCCTAGACCAGGATAAGCCAATGATGGTAGACATGAGAACATGAATTTTTACCCTTTCTGTTGTCTTTTCTTGAACCCCTCTATTAAGATTGCACCTTGCATTTACAAGGCCTGTCATCAGGCAGTGTGGAAGACTTGCCGCAGCTTGACTAGGGAATTAGGCAAGGAGACATGGAACGGCATTAAACAAGGGATACCTATGAAGGGATACATATGAAGGACCCAAGGTGGGCTAACCTTCAGCCCTTCCCAGGGCTTGTTCTTTGCAGTCTCAGGTTGTAAAGACTGCAAGCTTGTTGCTATTGGTAAGGGTAAAACAAAGGGCATAATAATTTGATATATATTTTTAAAAGGCACAGAATATTTCTTGAAGAAATCCTGTCAGTTTCACTCTTTGTCGTTGCCTCGGTCCAGATAACACGGCATCTATTCTAACCAGAAGAAATGGATTCCGGAGGCAGGAGCAGTCAGTTTACTATTTGCCAGTATTTATTGTGGACAGTGGCTCTCCTTCACTGAGCAGCACCAACACACTCACTATCCGGGTGTGCGACTGTGACGCAGATGGCATTGCCCAAACATGCAACGCAGAGGCCTACATCTTGCCAGCAGGACTTAGCACCGGGGCGCTCATAGCGATACTGGCTTGTGTTCTGACATTGCTAGGTATGTCTTTGGGGTTTGTTCCTTGGAGAGGGACTGTTTTCCTTCAGAACAAATGCAATTCCTTTACTTATATGTGTTTGCAATTGCTTGGGTGGGGATCAAATAAAATGTGTTTATTTATTATGATATTTGTATACTGCCTGTAATGTGGCCATCTCGAGGTTGTGTACAATAGATCATGAAATATAATACAGAAACCAAAATGCAAATAAACTCACTAAATACAAGAAGTAACAATCAAGAGTTAGAAAAGGAAACCTTAAAGGTTCTACAGTGGGAGGCAGTGGATCAGGCCAATTCCCATCTAGTCCAGCATCCTGTTCTCACTGTTCAACCAGATACAGCAGTACCTTGGTTGGCAAACTTAAACTGCTCCAGGAGTCTGCTCGACAACCAAGGCATGGCTTCCGATTGGTTGTAGGAGCTTTCTGCACTATGGATGCGGAAGCCACGTTTTGGCTTCTGAAAAACGTTCACAAACCGGAACACTCACTTCTGGGTTTGCAGCATTTGGGAGTCAAAACGTCTGAGTACCAAGGCGTTCAACAGCCAAGGTATGACTGTCCCTTTGGGAAACTCGCAGGCAGGACCTGAGTGCAAGAGGACTTTCCCCTCCTGCAGTTTCCAGCAAGTGATATTCAGATCCATAGCCATCATGACATGAGTAGCTAGCATGAAGAGAAATGTTTTCAGAATGTGTTTAAATTTCGCTAATATTGACATGTGACTGATTTCTGGGGGGAAACCCTTCTAGAGAGTGAGTGCCACCACAGATAAGGCCTTTGGGCTTCTCATATCTAGGTACTGACTAACAAAGACTTTCTTAATTTCAGTAGATGAAACTGCATCACACATCTTAAATTCTCTAAAATAATTAGTTTCTGTCATGTCAGCCACACTTAAGACACATTTGTTTAGTCCGACACAAGATGTAAAGCATAAGAACTGCAGCCTTAGAGCCTAACCCTCAACCTTAGGCTTATATATACCAAACCTTATACAGTGGTACCTCTAGTTATGAACTTAATTCATTCCGGAAGTCCGTTCTTAACCTGAAACTGTTCTTAACTAGAGGCGTGCTTTTGCTGATGGGGCCTCTTGCTGCTGCTGTGCTGCCAGCACACGATTTCTGTTCTCATCCTGGGGCAAAGTTCTCAACTCGAGGTAACTCTTCCAGGTTAGCAGAGTTTTTTAACCTGAGGCATTTGTAACTCAAGGTACCACTGTATATAGATTTGGTAACACTGAAAGTAACGTTACTTCTACCTTTCCAGAAGGTGTTCAGGCCCTTGATTATGCATTTGCAGCCTGGAATCTGTGATGGTTACAGACTCACACCTGGTTATCCGGAATAAGCTCAGAGGCACAGATACATTTATACAATCTGTGTTCCATTCTCACAATCACCTCAGATTAGAAGCACCAATTCACAAATAAAAAATGGGACTGGAGACTGGGGGAGAAAGCACCTTTTCTAAAGTCTAAATCTATAAAAAGCTCTGAACTGTGATAGCATTTTTTAAATCATTGCTTGGCACCTTACTTGAATGCATATGGCAGTTAGGACTTGGCACAGTCCTGGCACCTTCTAGGCAAATAATGATCATGCAAGAATTGCCAGAACTTCACATTTCTCTGAAGGAGATTTTTCATCATTATTACCATGTGTATAGATCATTGTCTGTAGTAGACACACACTGGTTCACACTTCACATTAATGCACAGTAAAAAAAAATGCCTATGCTTTCATGTGAATGAGCAATGTATGGTTGCCTGCTGCTGAAATCACAGGTACTTCACTTTTTCCTGACTACTTTGTCTGGCTTGTACAAACTGGGCTCATGGTTTGTTTTGGGAAAACAAGGCACAAACATTAAGCAGTTTTTGGCTTCTCGTGGTTTGTGTGGAGAGAAACCCTGGTTTTGGACAACTCAACATGCCAGAACATGGCTTGTTTCCTGGCAGCAGTGGAAGAGCAAACCACCGACAATTACCAGCATGCTTTTCATTCATATTAAACCATAGTTTAAGTATGGTTCAATGGGATGTGCAAACCAGGCCCCTTTATAAGTGGGCTACATTTGCCAGCAACCTTTTTAAAAGGCTAGAATTGTTCCTGTTTTTGCAAAGGAGATGATTTATATTCTCTGTCAAGTAGGTGCATTTATTTTAACTTTTAAAGTTCAGATATACATAGCCCAAGTCAAGTTATGATAAGGAGTGTAACAAACAGTGCTGGGAGCAGTGAGGTCTCTTTAATCAGGCACAACTTACACATGGGAAATGCAGGCAGAAAACTGGATTAGTGAACAATAATGGACATTGTCTAGTAGTCATAGGCTCATAATGCCCAAGCCTTTACATGTCAGCTCAAAAGTAAGATTTATTGAGTTAAATGTAGCTTACCCCAGATAAGTGAGTACAGTGGACGCTCAGGTTGCGAACATGATCCATGCGGGAAGCACGTTTGCAACCCGCAGCACTGCATCTGCGCACGCACGGGTCACGATTCAGCGCTTCTGCGCATGCACAAGCCCCCAAACCCGGAAGTAACCCGTTCCGGTACTTCCAGGTTCGGCGTGATGCGCAACCTGAAATCGAGCAACCAGAAGCAACCATAACCCGAGATATGACTGTATAGGAATACAGCTGAACATAAACTTATTACTGCTTGTGTATGTGTCCAAAACCCCTTAATAAATATAGCTGGCAAATGTTAGATTATTGAGTATATAACTGAAGCATCAAAATGTATTTCCATTTGCCCAAAAATATTAATGAAAATGAAAATACCATAGAGCATATGGAACAGATACAATATAATTCCATTAGTAAGAATTTAGACATACACGTGTTTCTTTCATGTAACATTGTTTTTTCAAACAGCATAATATTTCAGGTGAGTAGGTAAAACTGAAAAAGAATTCAGTAGCGAACATTGTAATTTTGACATGTCTTGATATTTAATTGGATTTCTGTTCATTTATGTTTCTTAAAACTTGACCATCTATTGAGAAATGTCTATGTGACAGAATTTGAACCTAGTAGGGAACCAAGTGCAGTAACTGCTAGTGCAAAATACCGATCCATCCATCACTTTGCATTTGGCTGGGCTTGTCAGAATTGACACATTCTTCATCTATGGATTCTGGTTTCCAACCTAGGCCTCCTGTGGTTCAGGTGTCTTAGGAACAGACAGGTAGAGTTTTCCAGCAAAAGTATGAGATTCAAAGACGACAGTGTTTTATTCAGGAAGTGACATTGCCCATGACAAGAAATGACATATGTGAAGACTAAGCTCTCCAGACAACCTTTCAGACTGTTAAAACTGCAAAAACAGTTTCCATAGTTTACATGCAATGCTCTCCATATTCCAAGAGCATTTCAAGCCAAATTGAACTTTGCTCAAAATTACTGGGAGTTTTAAATCAACTCGGCAGGAATACAAATTGTTAGATGAAGAACAAACTTTATGCCACAAATATTTCTGAATTATTCTCTACCTAGCTGTTGCCTGATTTAGAAAGTTCAGAAAGACATCTTGGAGTCCAATCCCATTCATGTTTACTTGGAAGTATGAGTTGAACTTAATTTAACAATCACAGAAGTATCAATTGCAGTATCTGTTTAAGTAAATTATAGCTGTGGGTTGCCTAATTTGACCAGACTGGCTGGAGGTTCTTAACCCTTTCCCCCCTGTACTGATACACCATGGGGTTTCTTCTCTCTGCGTTCCTCCCAGCAGTCATTCCTCCTATGGTCACTGCTATGGATACATGACCTTAATATTTTATAAAATGTTAAGGAACTTAATATTTTAAACAATCATCCTAATCCCAGAAATTTACTAAGAATAATATCCAACTAAGTCTAACTTAGGTCTGACATACTGAAATAATGGGCTTTATTGATTTAAATGGATCTGTTCTGAGTATGATTTGTCTACTTGTTTCATTTCTCCCCCCGCCCCATTTTTGGTAAAAAGAGGAAAGCTAATAGAAAAGAAAGGAAAAGAAAGAGGAAAGCTAAAAATATGTCACAGGCCAAAATTGCCTGATTCTTCCCTTTCAACAGAGTGGAAGTATTTCACAATGCACCTCTCCATTACTCTTTTAAAAATCTAGATGTATACCACATAACTCATAATGGGCAACCTTTGCTTGTTAAATACTGTTCAACCTCTACTCCTTATTTGTAAAACAATAAATAAAAGGGAGCTGCTGTCCACATTACGCAGTATGAGGTGAGAGACTGAAGTGGTAAAATTCCAGCCTTCACCTTTACAGACTAAGGATAGAGTGTCACACTTTGAATTTTTCCCCATGTTAAAAAAATATCCCTGCAAGTAGCAAACATGCACAGGAGTGCTTTAGTGTATTCCTGTCCCTAATGGGACTACGCTACTACATTTGGGGAGCTTTTTATGTGGGAAAATGATTTTTTTTAATTAAAAAAAATACACAGACTGAATTGATACTGTCCATATTTCTCCTTCCTAAGTCTCTTACTTCATTTTTTTCATTTAGACAGGCATCACCTCTCAGATCCAAATAGCCCTGTTGTTATTGGAAGCCTTTAAGGCAATCTGTACATATGAAGCATATTGTATTCTAACTCTTGTCAGCTGTGATGTTGTTTTTTAAAAAAATGGGGGGGGGGAGTAAAGATAAAAAAAATACATGATTGTAGCTTATAAAAAGCACAAGAAAATTATCTTGCTGGGTGTCATTATTTTTATACTGTACATAATTCCTTAAAGAAATAAGCGAGGAAAATCTTCAATGCCTCTGAGAATTATATGGCAATTGCGGTGTAATTCCCCCCCAGTTAACATCACAGACACACAATAGTAATTGCTTTTATAATAACTGTTTAACATAATCGTAACGATCATTTTGTGCCCCCTCAGACACGTACAACTGTTTCTCAAACTCAAAAGGTTTTTCCTGTGCTTCAGTTAGGCACGGGAATGTTATTGATAAGCCAAAACCTTTTTCCTC